TTAATGCAGGGCCGATGATTGAGTTAACATTAGCAACAGCCTATATATTATAAAGATCACATTGTTAATAAAACAAATTAACGCCAGTAAAAACAAAAGATAATAGTATACCCGACCTTTGATACACCTTTACCAAGGTAATCGGAGCCTCCATCTCTCAACTCAAGAGCCTCGTAAATTCCTAAAACAAAATAACTATTGACATTATAAAAAAAAATAGAAATATAATTGTTTAGATATTATTAACGAATAAATTAAACGTACCAGTGGATGCACCGCTAGGAACTGCGGCCCTAGCCTTTATGTCGTTCGATGTTTCCACATCAACCTATCACATTTAGTCAAATAGTTGCATTAAAATCGAGGTAATTGAATAACTACCGTAATTACGTTTATTCTACGAAATCAGAGGAAAGGGAATAGAAAAAAAACTAGCTATTCGACCGATTCAACTCGTTGAATCGTAATATCAAGGTCAATGAAGAATTAATCGGGAGATGAGTGGCGGAGATGCTATATAAACAGATCGATAACGTAACCAAAACAAAGAAAAGGGGAATAGAAAATGAAGGAGATCCGGTGAGAAGTCGAACCTCCACCGTTGGATTTCCACGGCTATCGAAGATCTGCCTAGCTTTGACGGAGACGATAGTAGCAGCCATGCTTTCTTTCAGATCCGGAAAAAAAAAAGAGTAAGAGAAAGGAAGCTTTTTGAGATTGTCACAAATGTTTAAAAGCGAGGCCGAGCAGATGGAAGTGGAGTGCTTTATAAAGAGGATATTAAATTAATGAGAGCCGTTGATCCTAAGGAAAGTACAAGAGCCGTTGGATTCTAGTTTGCTTTGTCTCTAGAGACTAGAAGGGGGCGAGAAACAATGCGAGGGGCACGAGTTTTGAGTTTTAACTTTATGTTTCGATGGATGCCCATTGTTTTCGGTTACCGAAGTTGAGTAGGAATTATGAAAAGAAGATCCAAAAATAAATTTTGAATTTAATTTAACTATATATGAGCCTAAGCTGAGTTGGAATTATAAATAAGGTTGTTAATTGGTCCCACGATATAGTATTTATTATATATATGTCTCATGATAAGTCTAATTTTTATCTTATCATCCCTGGAATTTATATTGATCTTCATCTTATTGAATGAAAAATAGGGTTTGTCTTATCTTACATACTTAGTAATCATCATCATAAAAATCAAAGAGCTACATGCTCACATACCATGAAAACATTAGTTAACCGGCAACGGAGAAATGAATATCAATAACCAGTGACGGATCCAGAAATTTAAGAATTGAGGTTTAAAATTTTAATTTTCTTTTTTTAAAAATAATGGGTATGAAAGTTATATTTTTTTTTCTTTTTTCCTTAACACATTATGTTAATTTTAACTATATTTCTAAAATAATAGGAATGCACTTGTCCCCTATGGGGGCTTAGTACATCCGCCACTGTCAATGACAGCATGCGGTGCAAATGGGGAAGCTAAGATTTGAGAAGAAAATAGTTAAATTGAAATTATGTTCCTAAATTACTTTGAGTTTATAAAAAGACTTGTACTTAGTATTTTATCTAAAGTTTTTGAGTTAAAACAAAAATTAAATCATTTTACTAACGCGTGATATCATCAAACTAACGATATTTAATGACTTAGTGATCAAAACTTAATAAAAAATAATATAAATGATTAAATTTTTTAATTTAATAAATAAAAATGTGGAAATATACAAGGTAAATGATCATTTCTGTAGTTTACCCAAAAATATTCTAAGGTTTAGGCCAACATGAGCCGCAACCATGGCCATAATAGCAACAGTTTCGGGCCCAACATCTTTCTCCAGGACCAGCATCTCATTGTATAAATCACAACGTTTCTTGTACTCCTTCGATCTAAAGAGGTGTTGCATTTAAGCAGACGCCGTTGGCGAGTACCCAGATTCCTTCATGCTTTGGAAAATATCATTTCTCAAATACCCAAATTGTTGATAATCTCATAAACCTTCTTAATAACTGAGTGTCTTCTCTTCAAAATATAGCGATAAAAGTATTGTTTGAAACAGTTATTTCACAACTGTGATACTCGTAATAGTATCCATTATGTTGTAATCACAATAAATACAACATAACAAAAAAAATGCAACCGCAATTGCAATTCAAATCCGTGATCCTATCAGCCCAGTAATTTAAATCTTCTTCCTTGATTCTTCCAAAAATACAGAAATTCTTGAATACATAACCATAAACTTGTTGTTCTTGAATCTTAGAGAGCCTCATCATGTTATCTATCTGCGACCAAGTGAACCGCATCATGATCCCCTGATTTCGCAACGCAATTCAGCAGCATCTTGTGCGAATTTGAATCAAGCCTCATATCCTTCTCAACCATCTCCTTGTTAAACATTAATGCTAAGTCACCTTTTCCGGCATTACGAATAGCACGCACATCATCGTATAAGTCCTTGTATCGGGTTCAAAACCACATTTCTTCACGTTTTCCGAGAATTCAAGCGCTTTTCCAATCAACTTTGACTTCCCACATTGTGAGATTAGAATTTTCCAAGCCTTAGATCTTTCTTATTAGCTTCACTACTTACATATAGGAGTGTAAATTAACATCTTGTTTTGTAAATTATCCGTGAATCGTTCGTATAGCGTCTGTTTGTTAAGTTAAATAAATGAGTATGGACATATTTTTTGTGTTTATTTAATAATGAACGAGCACAAATAGAGATGTGTTTGATTATTTTATATTCATAAACAAACTCGTTTAGAACTCATTTACCTTTTATTTTATTATATTTTAAATATTAATGATTGTAAAGACTAAACTGAATACATGATAAAAGTTAGAGTTTAAGCATTAATATGTTTTTGTTTAATTAATATGTTTTAAGATTGTATTTTGTTGTTGTCCTGGATGTTATATAAGTTTTATTTTGTTGGTTTTGTTTAATTTATGAATATATAAACGGATGCTAAACGAACATGTTAAAGAATACTAATCGAACGAACACAAACACATTTAAAAGTAAATAAATAAATAAATACGAACATAATATTAAAAATATAAACTAACACAAATCAAACATTAACACATTTAAAAATAAACAAACGAATTTTTATTTATTTACACCTCTACTTACGTATAACATAGAATTTAAAACCTCGGTTTATAAGAAAGGAGTATATATACATTTGCTTTTAAAATAATAATTCTCGTATACTTTCTTAAAAACAAAGATAACAAACATAATTTAAAAATATGAATTTTCATATATTTTTTAAAAATACATTATTTTATAAAATATTAAAAATATAAAAAATATTGCTTATAATTAAAGAAATAAATGAGATACCAACTACTAGTTGGTCTAGTGAGATGAGACACTAAATCCCTTAAGCAAGGTCAATGTTTAAATCATGACGTTTGCGAATGAAACAAATTGGGTTGTGAGGGTCACCCTTGTCGCTGCAATACCCAATCCAAATTAATTGATTAATAAATTAGAAAACGATAGTTATACAAAAAAAAAATTAAATGGGATATTATCTGTTAATTTAATATGTTATGTCATTTTCTTAACATTAACTAACAAATTAACAATGTGATATGAACTAATTGTCTTTAGTGGTAAAAAAATGTTGATTAACTACATCTGCAGAGTGTGTTTTAAGAATTCTAAACATGTACTATCATGTAATCACCAAAATATTTATAAAAAAAAGCCAGTGCGATATCATTTTGTTAGAAAATTAAAAGTTGAATGTTTTTTGTATAATTTTTGAAACTTCAGTGGCAAAAATATTTATTTTTAATATAATATAATGACCAATGGGTATAATTGACCCAAAGCCTAAACCCAACAAATCCCTGAAAGGCCAAAGCCTGGCTCTTTATTGCCCTCCGCTTCAGCATTTTCAATTCAATCAACAATGGCAGCTTCCTTAACAATCTCAAGATTCCTTTCATCACCCGCCGCCATTTCGTTCCCCAACGCAACCACCAGACTTACCTCTAAATCCCTCTCCTCAAAGCTCTCCATTTCTCCCCTTTCCATCAAGCTCCACCGCCGCCCTTCCAAACCCATTTCCTTTTCAACCAACACCACTCCAATCTACGCCGCTATCTCCGTCGGAGACAAGCTTCCCGACGCCATCCTCTCCTACATCGACTACGATGGTGAACTCCAAACTACCACCATCTCCTCCCTTACCGCCGGAAAAAAAACCGTCCTTTTCGCCGTCCCCGGCGCTTTCACCCCCACATGCTCCCAGAAACACCTCCCTGGGTTCGTGGAGAAATCAGGGGAACTGAAAGCCAAAGGGGTCGACACCATCGCCTGTGTCTCGGTCAACGACGCTTTTGTGATGAAGGCTTGGAAGGAGAATCTGGGTATTAACGACGAGGTTCTTTTGTTGTCGGATGGAAATAGGGAATTCACCAAGAAAATTGGGTGCGAAATGGATTTGAGTGATAAGCCCGTTGGACTCGGAGTTCGCTCAAGAAGGTACGCTCTCTTGGCTGAAGATGGAATCGTTAAACTTGTTAATTTGGAAGAAGGTGGTGCTTTTACTTTCAGTGGAGCTGAAGACATTCTCAAAGTGCTCTGATTATCAAGAGATGAAACATCAGCAACTTCTTTTAGAAACTCTTTTATTGATTAGTTTTCTTCTTTTTTGTTAACTTTAGTAAAAAAATTGACCAGGCTCTGAGAAATTTCATATGCACTGTTGACAATGGAGAGTTATGAGTGATGTTTTCTCTGAATATTTTGTGCTCTTTGCAATGCAATGTTTCAAGTATGTTCCATTTGTTGTCTGCATTTATAATTTAGATCATGAAAGAAAAGTTATTTTGACAAAGATTGATAGGTAAACATACAAGGACAATGGGGAAGAATCAAATGTGAAAATTAATCTTTTCCTATTGTTTTTTTTATTGTCTCAAACAATTCCCAACCACAACATAATAGGAAAAGAAGAAAAAGTACAAAAAATGCAAACAATTTATTCCAAAATATTGCCTATATAAACCCGGAAACAGCCTTCATTAGCTACTTATATACTGTGTATGATGCATTACCATTACAACATCTGTTCTGTATTTTCCCTTAATTTCTTCCATATTCACAAGGACAACTATTTTCGAGTTATCAACTCCATTTCTTACACTCAAAGAATATCCCTTTAGTAGCTGCAGTAGAGTACGACCTGCTGATGGCGTTAGTAGGCAAAAGAATTACAATGAAGACGGCTACTATGGACTACCTTAGGCAGTTGCACTATGAATTGGGGATGATGGTGCCAACATATCCGAATCCCATAATGAAGAAGGCGATTGCTTGTGCATAAAGGTATATGAAGTAATGGTTTTTACCGAACACAACATCATAGCAGCCGCAGAAGAATAGATAAGCTCCGACAAGAAGCTCTAAGACATGGAGCCTGCCAACATTCAAACGTTAAACAAAAAAAACATTGAATGAAAAGGTTGTGATAGCAGACTCAATTTGACTGCCCTTACCTTTCTCCGAATCGGAAACGAGGTTTTCGGGGTGCTTTTACACCTGCCTTAGCCTTGAGAGCATCTCCAAGTTTCTCAGTGACAATCCATTCATTTACTCTACCAGCCTCTAACAGACCAATGAAGGTAGCCTTTGTTCGATGCAATGACATGACATTTTCGAAGAGGATCCAGAAAACCAGTAAGTGAAGTGACCTGAAAGAACCAACTGTTAGCTCTGCATGAACAAATTTATAAGCAAAAGAAGAAACGTAGTCCATTGATTACAATTATTCAAGTTCAACAACAACCCTTTTGATTGATGAACTCGAAGTTCGATTTCAAGTTACCAAAGAATGATGAAATCTATCAAAATAGAAGATTGGATGGGGGGAAAACAATACCTTGGAGTTCCAACAGCATTGAGAAGGGTAATTATAGAAGGAATATAAACAGCTCCCCACTTTGGAACTTCTACTTCAGGGACAAGTACAGTTGCAGGTAGAACAACGCAGTAAAAGCAGAATGTAACAATGTGGGCAACGAGCTTTCTAACCACAAAGAAGCTGTAAATTACATGTACTTTCTTCCATGTCGAAACTTTCTGTAATTAATATTTTGCAATCAATCAAAGACCGATTCAACAAATTTCTAGTGTTTATTACTTGTTTTACGAATTGGTTTACGTTTAGCTAACCTTGTTTTTTATGATCTCTATGACCATTTTCCTGAAAAGGTTAGCCGGACCACAAGACCACCGGTGCTGTTGATATCGGTAAGCTTTCAAGGTACTCGGCAATTCATTTTTCACCTATACAAGAAAAACTGTTAACACAACACAAATGCACGAATGTCATGGATTGCCTGATGACAATACCTTTAGGGTTCCGAGGTAGAGGAATTTCCAGCCTTTGAGACTAGCTCGGACGGCCAAATCCATATCCTCGACCGTAGTTCGATCTTTCCATCCTCCAGCTTCATTCAAAGCGGCAATTCTCCACACTCCAGCAGTTCCTAAGCAAGTTTAATTAGAAAATCTTTAAAATCACATTTCTTCTATAATAAATTCTAATCAAAGGTTTTTTTTTTTCATTACCATTGAAGCCAAAGAAAGCATAAGTGGAAGACCCCACTTCTTGCTCCACAGTGAAATGGTAATCCAATGACATTTCTTGCATTCTTGTCATCAAGCACTCATCAGCATTCACTGTAAATCATGTAAAAAGGAAACTATTCCCCTTAGCCTGTGGTTGATGAAGATTTGATATCAGAAAATCAAGAAAGCAAAGAGGGAAACCAAAAAAATACAAATGTGGGTTAGTCCACCATGGATAATGACTGGTTGAAGGTCCACCACTTTACGAAGCTAGCACATGCAGCTGCTGGGAATACGAGACAAGACAAAGATACCATATATACCAGGGGCCGGTGATAGACCGTGGAACAATGGTCGAGGGTCGTTGCCCTCTTTAAAAAAATTAAATTCTTATGTATTTTCACATACTTTGTTTAAACTTTTTATTGATAATCAGTTTCATCATAAAAAATTATAAGTTAATTTACTCTTAAAAAATTTATAAATTCACCTCTAAGATAAAATTTTATCTTGAAAATTTTTTACAACTCAAAAGTGAGTCCCATATTAATTAGCTAACATTTTCGGGTCCCTTTTTATTGATTTTAACTCACCAGACTGTCCCCATGTTCGCCTGTCACAAGCACCAACTGTCCAGACAGTCGGCATAAAAAAAGTCAATTAGAAAAAAGGGAAAACAAAAAACATTGCCCCCGTGATTGTTTACTTCAAATATCACAAATTTTGCCATAAAAACATATCAGAATTTCTGTAATAACTAGGATTCTACAGCAGGATAAGGTCCTGGAAGTTAAAATAATAACCAAAAACGACAATTTCTCGGTGCTTTTTCTTTGCTTCCATACAAGCAAGCTTGTCAATATCAATATACGCAACACCCTTTTTGTTTTGGTACTGACACATACCACTGTTATGTATCAATGACTTATTTTTGAGTTTATTGTTGTTCTTTTATATATTTTTTATTCCTAATTTAATCTTTTTATTTTTTAATAATAAAAAAAATAAATAAAATATCCTGAAACTATAATCTCATTTTAAATTGATTCTTAAATTTTAAAATATTTTATCTCAATCTTCAAATTATTAACTTCATTCTAAATTAATTCTAAAACTTTAAAACGTTTTATCAATCTTTAAACTATGAACATTATTTTATTTTGATTCTTCCATTAACGTGTAGTTAACTCTTATGAAATAATAAGTCAAATCACACGTCTTTCGTCGCCAGTTCAATTCACGAGACATTCAAAAGTCATTAAAGTCGGTAATAAAATAATCAAATTAGAATAACGTTGATAGTTTAAGAATTAATATAAAATATTTTAAAATTTAAAGATAAATTTAGAATGAATGTTGTAATTTGAGAATTGATATAAAATAAAATATTAAATAAGATTTTGATTTTAAATATTAAAAATATATAAACTACCTAAACAGTTTTCTGCGAGTAGATTCCAAAAAATATGGATACGGGATAAGGAGATCTTAGACCGAAAACTGAAATGGAAGAAAAAACCAAAAAAATAAGGGCGACATTTACACTACTTTCTCTGCTACTATTTCTGCTTATTATTACACAACCACGCACGTGTCCGAACCTTTGCTCAGCCAGCGAAGGCTGGACCATCCATAGATCCACGTGCTTAGGGACCTACCCCCAATACATTTTACCTCGTTTATTTATTTCAAAAATAAGAAAAAATGTTTTATTTAAAAATAAAAAAATTAAAGCTGATCTATATGATTAAAGAAAATATCGTGTAATCTTTCAGATTTTATATTTGAGTAGTAGAATATGTTTCGTTAATAATTAAAAAAAATATAAATAAATATTATTTTATAATCGTCTTAATTAATTAATAATTAAATTAATAATATAAATTATTAATAAAGATTTTAAAATGTCCGGCTGAAAATCGGCGTCGAAAATGACAACGTAGTCACAGTGTTTGACGTAACTGTGTTTCATCCCTTCTTTCAGAGCCCCCGCTTTGTACCCATTCCTGTTGTCTCTTATTTCGTACTTTATGTTTATACCTTTGCTCGCCCATCTTTGGCACTCCAACTCTACCAAATCCTTCATTTTTATACATAATTCCATGCAACATTTTTATTAGGGCCAGAACCAAAATTTAATATTTCTTTTTGTCTGAAATTGGTAAAATACCTTAATTGTTGGGTCAGTTGAATCATCAAGGACTTGAATAATGATCCGATCAGAAGGCCAAGAGAGGCCACATGCAGCTCCGATTGAAAGTTGATAAACCTGAAAAAAAAAACTTGAATTATTACCAAATTTCCAATATATTCGGACATATGCATGTATGGAACAATTTGAGGGGGGAAGAAAATGACCTCTCTTTCATTGTACATAGGAATTTGAACCAGAACCATAGGATAAGCTGAGTTCCCCAACTCAACATCGTCTTTTATGGGTTCCCATTTGTACCTTCTCTCTGGTTTTCGACCAAAGAGTTTGACAAGCACAATGACTATCCCCATGTAAACCCTTTCAACGAAAAGCATCAAAGACATAATCAAACAAACCATGACAACTAGTCTCAACAATGGCACCATCAATGGCGCCTTGATTTGACTCCAAATCAATCCCATTTGCATCGACAAATCATCTCTCGTCCCTTGGAATGTGTCCGGGAGAATAGCTGTTGAAGAAAGCCGATCCATTTCAATGCTTTTTTTCAAGAGCAAAAACAAGGGAGGACCAAATTGAAAAAAGAAAAATAATGCTAAGAAACAAGTTTGGAAGATGATTAGACACAGATTTTGAAAACAACCCACAAGATCTGCTTAGATGTGAAGCACATTCCTTGGAACAAAAAAAGAGACGGAATGTTTTGGTTTTTTGCTTTGGGAATTTGCTTCTGGTTCAAGCAAAGTGATGAACACCCCCACACTAATTTGCAGCAACCAAGAAGCAAAAATACCCACTTTTAAGATCCTTAAAGATCTTAAACCAGCTCCTAAGAAATATGCATTACACAAAGAAAACGAGAAAGCAAAGGGAGAGGGACACTTCAATAAACAAGTAGAAAGAAAAAAATGCTGATAAAATGAGAGGGAGAACAATGTCTTATATAAGCTCTGTTGTCTTCTCTGGTTGTTGATTTATGAATTTACAGCAATGGTTTACTTTGCCAACCACTAATGTGGGGTTGGTATGGTATGGTTCAAAAGAAGTAAAAGAAAGCGTAGAGCTTTTAATTTCCCGACGACATATTGTGTCGGTGAATGATGATGTCATTTACCGACGACATTGGATTATATATGCTTTGTGATTCCTTTTTCTTGTAATCTATTTTGTCACCTAATGTGTAGTCATTATTAAGCTTCAAAAAGCTTCAGCTACTTTCAACTTCTGTTTTCAACCTTCCATTTTTTCTGTTGGTGATCTAAATCTTCGATTAAAACATTCTTTTTCTTATTTATTCCTTTTTCCATATGAGTTATATATTTAGTTATTAAAATCATCTTATGTTACAATATGAGTATATTTAGTTAAATAGTTCTAGTTATTATACGAAAGATTTAACTCTGACAAATCACATGTTTAATTTCGATAGCTCCTATGTATTAATTAGACTTATGAGTAAACTTATTCACCGTACGATTTAGACTAGAAATTTAAGAGAATGAGATCAAAATTCTCTTTGTAAAAAATACTTATCCTTTGCATGTACTTGTAATAAGGATTTACTACTATCATATAGTGAATTAAATATATAATTTGGAGATTTTCTTATGATATTGAAACTAGCCACTTTAAACATATAAGGACCAAACCTGAAAAATGTTAAAAACTCAATCAAAAGACTCAAACAACAAATAAATACAGACAAATATGATTGTATCAATAAACAAACCACAAAAGGGGATTAAGCTATTAAAAGGCCATCGAGAACTGCAAATCAGAGTCGAGCGTCGTGAGAAACTATTTACAAACACAAAACTGTGTATCCAAATTCAATTCGATGAGCCATAGCAGGGAATATATCCAAGATTATAAATAAGCCACTTCTTGACCAGTCATGACGCCATCAAATCCAACCATGAGAAAACATAAAATAAAAAGAACGACCAAACGACTAAGAAAGAAAACAAAAAACATGTCACAAATACAAAACTATTCCTTTAAAAAAACTAAAAAAAGAAGAAGAAACAAAGATAGAAGAGAATCGACGGTCGACAACCAACATCAGAACTAGTGTCGTCACCAGCTAAATAAAATCAAAGAAGAAAAAATTGATATGATCTGTAAAAAATAATACAAACTCTAAAGAAAAAGAAGAGGGAGAGTGGGAATAAAATATTACTTTCAAATGTTAATTAAACCACAAATTTAAATACTATTAAGATGAATTGATTCATTATAAATCATATAAACATGAATTATTTAACTACTAATTATTTGAAATATCAATTATTTAAATACGAATTATATAAATATTAATTATTTAAATAAATTAAAATTATGAAATATAAGATTTTAATAAAACATAGGAAAAATAAATTATTAATTAATTAATAATTTTAGTAATTAAAATAGTATAAAAATTAATTGAAAATTTAAATTTTCACTTGAAGGCGCGAGTTGTAATCTGCGTTTTTTCCTTTTAATCTATGTGATATAATATTATATCGCGTACATAAAAACACGTATAATTAAAAATACTTTCGGTTAAATGCGATTGTATTTTAACTAATTGGGAAAAATATTATTTCTTTAAATATTTTTTTAAAAATTATTCTGATAATTAATTTTTTACTAAATAATATTCACCTACAATTACCAAAAGATGAAGGAAAGCTTGAGTGGCTTTGATTCAAGTATAGGAAATGCATATTGATGGGAAAGCCCTTTAATTTGTCTTAATCAAATGTGACAGACAGACAAGTCATGCTTCTGGGGATGTCTCAGGAAAGACGGATTAATATACGGTTAATATACGATGTTACCAGATACATTAAAATATATTTAATAAATTCGGTTTAACACTACCGGAAATGTTGAGTAATAATAATGTAGTAGATCTAAATCATGAAGAAATATTAAAAAAATTAGCAACCGATAAACTTAGTTTGTCAGTTTATGTCGATATTTTATAAAAATATATTGATCCACATCAATATAACAGGAAAAAATATGACAAAACCGATCATGAAAAGACAACCGGTAAAGCGCTACCAGATATATTGAAAGTGTCGATACGTTAATATAAGTGTCGACACATTGTGAATTTAAAGGAGAAACAGTTTTAGCGTCTATAAAGTGTCGATTCTTTATAAATATGTATCGATCCACAACGATATAACATGTAAAAATATGACAAAACCAGTCTCGAAAAGACAAAATTGGGTAAGGCATTAGCGGATATATTGAAAGTGTCGATACTTTAATATAAGTATCGACACTTTGTGAATTTAAAAGAGAAGCAGTTTTAGCTTCTATAACGTGTCGATATTTTATAACAATGTATCAATACACAACGATATAACATGTAAAAATATGACAAAACTGGTATCTAAAGGACAAAACCGTTATAGAACGACCAAATATATTGAAAGTGTCGATATTTTAACATAAGTATCGACACTTTGTGGATTTAAAAGAGAAGCAGTTTTAGCGCCTATAAAGTGTCGATACTTTATAAAAATGTATTGAACCATAACGATATAACAGATAAAAATATGACAAAACCGGTATCTAAAGGACAAAACCGGTATAGAGCGACCGTATATATTTAAAGTGTCGATACTTTAATATAAGTATCGACACTTTGTGAATTTAAAAGAGAAGCAACTTTAGCGCCTATAAAGTGTCGATACTTTATAACAATGTATCAGTCCACAACGATATAACAGGTAAAAATATGACAAAACCGGTCTCGAAATGACAAAACCGGTAAAGCGCTACTGGATATATTGAAAGTGTCGATACTTTAATAAGTAAACGTAATAAATTATCGATACTTTCAAAGAAATAGATAATTAAACTATCGAAAGTATTGACACATGACATAAAAGTATCAACACTTTTGTAGTTGTATCGATTAAATATAAATAACATATCCGGTGAAAATATAAAGGGCATAGTTAAATATCCTCTAAAAAATAGATAGAACAGACGAGTTTTTGAAATCAAAGCGTAATTGTTGCTGCATTTTAGAAGGCGTTTCTAAAGCGAAGTTTGTTTGTTTGTTGTTGCAGTCGAATCGAAAAGTACGTTGTCGAAATCCTAGTTTTTTAGTATTACAATAATCAGAAATAGGGTTTTTATATATTGTTTTGGGTTTTGGAGTAAAGAAACATTTGAGACCGATTACAGGTAGAAAGTGATATTCTAGGTAAAATATAAATATCAATACTTTTATTAAATATTATAGGTAGAAAATGATATTATAGGTTGTATAAATGTGCCGATACTTGGAGTATTGAGTGTTCCCATTCGTTTGAAGAAAATAGAGATTAGGGTTTTTGGGTTTGGTTTGGGGATTTCGAATCGAAGCCAAGAAGGATTTGTGACCGATTATATAATATTATAGGTAAAAAATAAATATGGATACTTGTATATAATATTATAGGTAGAAAATGATATTTTAGGTTGTATAAATGTGCCAACACATTTTGTAGTGGCCATTCAAATTTTTTTGAAGAAAACCGTTTTATCACAAGAGTAGTTATCTATATTTATATATTGAATAAGTGTATGTAACAAGTATTTGATTTGATTTGAGTAAATTAATAAATGAAGGAAAAATGGAGTCAATGGGTGGAAATCAATGTTTTTAAAACCGGACCGGACATTAACCAGTGAAGGTACTGGTTCATTGAACCGGATTTTATATAAAATAATTTTTTTTAATTTTACGTAATATTCAAAGCAATATTAATATATATATATAACACTTTTTTTAAGTTTACAATATTAAAAGGTATAAAAATATTACAAGTCATAACATATATAAATTAAAAACCATAAAATCAAGTGAAACAAAATGATTCAAATCAACTACAACATAATATTTAAGGTAAAACATATTAAATAATAAATATAATTATTAACTATAATCAAAAAAATAAAATTGGGGCTTAAAAAAATCATAACAAATGATGTCATTTGGTTTAATTTTTTTTAAAAAATAATCCCACATGGTTAAGAAACATAGAAGAGTATCCCAAAAGTTTAAAGAGTAAAAATAAGAGAACAAAACAATCCCATGTGGCTAAGAAACATAGAAGAGCATCCCAACCTACTTCTATAAATAATAGAAGTAATTTGACATTCAAAATCATGGAGCCTTTTGGTGAGCACAGAGCGAACTATTATTTCGCTTCAATTGAGCTCAAATTTTAGGCTTCAATCGAACTTCTAATTTTTTTTGAGTTCGAGCCTTTTCGAGTTCGAGTTGAACTTGATAATTTTTAGCTCGTGAGTTTTTGAGTCGAGTTGAGCTTACTTTTAAAGTTTTCGAGTTCGAGTCGAGCTCAACAATACTCGAATTTGACTTGGCTCATTGAACAAACGATGTCGTTTGGTTTAATTTTTTTAAAAAGAAAAAAAGTGAACCGACGGTTCAAACTAGTTTTGCCGATTTTCAGCCGGTTCATTGCCAGACCGGTTTTGTGAGGTAACCAGACCGAACAGACCATTGGTTCACGGTTCAACCGGTTGAACCGACCGGTCCGGTTTTGATAACCATGGTGGAAATATTGTTGGTGGCGCAAATGACTTTGAAATTGAGGTCGAGACTCGAAAGCAACCAAAGGGTGGATATATGTACTTCTAGTAAGTATCAATGCCTTTTTGTTATTATTGTTGAAATGGTAATTGGATTAAAGTATTTAAGAACTTTAAATTGATGACAAATTTTAAATGTTGACAATATGACCGAATGCAAAAGGATGAAGGAAGGTGGCGAACACATCGGTTCGGTATGTAAATTGAAATTGACATTGAGTATTATTTAGCGTTAATGTATTGATTAAAAAATATTTATGCTTAATATTAGGTGAGAAATGATGTGTTGGAGAAATGGAATTCGATGACTGATGCTCAGAAGGAACCTTACATCGCACAGTCAAAGATGGATAATGAAGAATACAAAGAATGGAGGAAAGCACATGAAAAGAATGTATTCATTAAACTTGTAAATACGTTGATACAAAATATATAAGAACTATAACATTATATATTTTAAAAAAATATAGGAAGTGTCGACAAGGTGCAGCATTAAATGGGTGAATTCATTAATTATACACCTTAAGGAGAAGGGTCAGTTGAATATGCTGGGAGAAATGGGGTTTGGATCGTTGGTAGGAGTAAGGGATCGACCTATTCGGAGGGAATTGTGTCGATCCTTGATGGCGCAATTTGATGTCAAACAATGTATTGCTAAATATGATGATTTTTCATTTCCTCTCGGGATCCCATGTGCTGCAGCCGTCTTGGGGGTAGGAAATAAAGGCAAAAGTTTTGTAGAAGTCTCTAAGAGTAAGAACTGGAAAAAACTTGCCTCCAAATATGGTTTGAAGCAGAAGGTGACATATGTTGAACTTGAAGAGGAAATCAAAAGTGGATCTTACGGAGGGGATGAGCTGAAGGCCCGAGTTCTATTGTACATTGTCGGGATCTTTCTTTGTCCAACGGGTGATACGTCAATGAACAATGACTATATGAAGCTCATTTACGATGAAGGCTTGAAGGGTGAATTCAATTGGGCTGAATATATACATTCGAGATTGATTGAATCAATAATCACCTTTAAAAATGGCAGCCAGAGATACCTCAAAGGGTGCATAACAATCTTAGAGGTAAATGAGTTCAAGAACGTTTTTGTTTTTTTATATAAAATGATAATATAGTTATTATATAAAATTATAAATTTTATTATAAATGCAGGTTGCACCGTTCGATTTTTGGTCGGGCTGTGAGGCAGTGCCGGCTTATGAAAGAACCGGAGTGGCTCGCATCCGTGCATGGGGGAAGAAAGAGGTGGTTAGAGTGATGGCGAAGTTAAAGTTTGATAGACCGAGGAAGTAAGAAAGGGTAATAAATGTAATTAAATAATATTAAGAATATAATCAATGTTTTAATATTGTAATTTAATTTTGAAGGTTATTGGCAAGGATGTAGTGGAGGCAGTGGAGGAAGAGGAGAAGGAAGAATAGATGGTTGTATTGGGGGATGACGGTGAGGGAAAACAGAGTAAATTCGACATTTTGATATCTGAATTGGCTGATATAAAAAAAATCCAATTTGATATTATGTAAAGACAATCAAGAGTTGAAGAGAAACTTGAGAGAGTCGAAGAGACACTTGAGAGGCATAAGGGGGAAGCAGAAGGAAAAATAGATGGAGTGGTGAAAGAAGTTGAGGTGTTGAAGGGTGAAATGGTGAAAGAAGTTGAGGTGTTGAGGGGTGAACTTAAGATGGTGAGGGGTGAAAAAATTGATGGAGTGATGAATGAGGTTTTGGAATTGAGGAGTGAACTTACGGGGGTGGTTGATGAATACTTGGATGAAGGGGAAAAATTGAAGGGTGAAATAAAAGAGATGAAGAGCTATGTAGAGTAAAAATACGATGAACTGAAAAAATATGAAGAAGAAAAGAGGGAGGAAGAAGAAAAGATGGAGGAAATGAGGATGAAGGACGTCGATGTGATCTATACACCGAAGAGTGTTATAGATGCAGATTTGGATTCGGAATATCCTGCACCCCAGAAGAAGAAGCGAAAAGTAAGTTGAATAAAAGAAAACTTAATTTGATCTTTATCATGTTGTTGTGACAAAAATTTGTATACAAAATTGTAGGTTGAAAAAGCGGATATTCCAAGCGGATATTCCAAGCGGAATTGATGACATCGAAGCTGCAATTTGTGATTATTTATGGAATAGTGAGTTAAAATCAGGGTAAGTGAAATATATTGCTTTGTGAGTGATATTTAAATATTTCATGACAAGATATTAATCCTAATGATTCATACAAATATTCTGTAATCTCAATGGGAAATCAATTTGCTAATATATCCGACGTTGCAACGTTGAAGCCTACGGAATGGGTTGGAGGTGTGGTAAATAGAAAGTACAAAATGTTAAAACCTATTGAATATGTTCTGATTGTGTAATTAATTTTGTTAGGTTATTGATTTGCTCGCATGGACAGTATGCTACGATTCGAAAAAGTCACTCCAGAGGATTGACTACCTTCCATACCACTTAGCGGTTAGTTAAATTAATAAATGTTGAAAAGTAGTGTTATAGATGGTAAATTAATAATGATTGTTGTGTAATTGTAGCAACAGGCGTTGGATGCCAACAACAAAGTAAGTGTTGAGAGTATTGTTACCTTTTAGGGTCCCATATTGGGTAACTATATGAAATTCACCGACTGTGAGAAGATAAGACATCATACGAATTGCAAATGATGTTTTTGGATATAGAATGTTGAATTTTTCAAATTAGGTGTGAAATTTGTTGCAGATCATGATCACAATAAACTACCTTAATTCACATTGGTATCTATTGGTGTTGGATATGGTAGATCATGTTGCAATAATATATTATAGTCTGTTTACATCTGAAGCAGCTAAACAGAGAGTGAATGATGCTAAGAGATTAGTATGTATGAAAGGACATTATGTAAATTATAATGCATATTTTGTTTGGATCATAACTTCATATTTTTTAATACAGATGAAAATATTAGATAGTTATAATAAGAAACACAATTGGGTAGAAGAATGTGGATCTCTAGGAAAGTTCCCTTTGAAAAATTTCAAATTTGTGGAGCATAAGAAGAATGAACAATTGAATGGGTATGAGATGTTATCATAAATAGAAAGCTTAATTTATGCAGGTTTAATAATTGACATGTGTGGTTTTCAAATTTTGTTACAGATATGATTGCGGCATGTATATGATGATGTGGATGGAATTGATTGGTTCTACAGGGGCAATTGGTAATTTTGTAAGTGGAATTAAAAATTCGTTTGCGGTTAAATTGTTTAAAGTCGTAGATTGAATGCTATGATTTACAATACTTAACGTACTGACAATTTGAATATAGGTTGTTGGAGAGTGGGATCGATTGCGAATATTAAACGATCTCGTAAGCCACAATCAAAATCAACGAAGACAGGAGATAACAAAAGCTGCCATGAGACACAAGAATAACAAAAGGAAGAAATGATGTAATTATAGAGTTAATTTTGTATAAGATTTATAATTTTATATACGATTTATAATTTTGTATGTGGATGTAATTATGTATGAGATGAGAAAAGTTAGCAGTAGGTTGTTGTACGTATTTCTTATACACAATAAGAGTCATGTTGATACTTACGATATATGGAAATCGTTATCTGCATTATTCCAAATGTCATCATAATTGTCATAATGTACAGGACTGAATGGCCATTCCATATAGAGGATATGTACAATAACTACAAAATTCAATAACTTTAAAGTAAAAGGTAAATTTATAATATAGTTGGTAAAAAAAGTTTTTTTTAATGAAAAATTAATAAACACAAAGATTTGTTTCCAACATTTTGTCTAGTATGGTTCCCAAACGTTAAGTTTCAAAAAATATAGGTAAGCATATGTGTCGATACAGTTATAAAAAGTGTCGATCCCAAACACATCGAAACCCATAATTATAATGTAATAGGTATAAATATACTGGTTTTATGTGAGAATAGGTCTACATAATGTATCGACACTTTTTCATTATGTGTCGATACTTTTTGTCCAGAATGAATGCCCAAAATGATGAACGCATAAAATGTCGATACATTTATTGAAAGTGTCGATCCCAGAAACATCGAAACTGATAAATATAATGTAATAGGTAAATTTACAATGTAACTGGTATAACTAAACCGGTTTTATGAAAGAATAGGTCTACATAATGTATCGACACTTATGTAATTTGTGTCGATACTATTTGTCCAGAAGGAATGCCCAAAAAGGGAGCACACAACAAGTACCGATACATTTATAAACAAGTATCGATTCCAGAAACATCGAAACCCATAATTATAATGTAATAGGTAATTTTTTAATGTAACCGGTATACATATATCAGTTTTATGAGAGAATAGGTCTACAATATGTATCGATACTTGTGTAATTTGTGTCGATACTTTTGGTCCAAAATGAATGCCCAAAAAGGGTGCACCATTAAGTGTCGAAACATTTATAAAAAGTGTCGATCCTAAAAATATCTAAACCCATAATTATAATGTAATAGGTAATTTTTTAATATAACCGATATAAATATACCGGTTTTATGTGAGAATAGGTCTACATAATGTATCGACACTTTTTTGTGTCGATACTTTTTGTCCAGAATGAATGTCCAAAAGGATGAACGCATAAAGTGTCGATATATTTATAAAAAGTGTCGATACCAGAAACATCGAAACCCATAAATATAATGTAATAGGTAAATTTAAAATGTAACCGATATAACTATACCGGTTTTATGAGAGAATAGGTCTACAACATGTATCGATGCTTGTGAATTTGTGTCGATACTTTTTATCCTGAAGGAATGCCAAAAGGGTTGAACGCATAAAGTGTCGATACATTTTTAAAAAGTGTCGATCCCAAAAATATTGAAACCGATAATTATAATGTAATAGGTAAATTTACAATGTAACCGGTATAAATATACCAGTTTTATGAGAAAATATGTCATCATAAAGTATCGACAATTGTTAAATTTGTGTCGATACCATTTTAAATATCGTGTGTTTTTCCCCTTTATTATTTATAGATTATAATCAATACAAACTCTATATCAAGAAACCCTAAACCTAAAGGCAGAAGAGAACTCTTCCTCTCCGAAGAATACTAGCGTTATCATAACAGTGACAATTAGATATTCAGGTAAATTTATCATTATTTTATGGGTTTGATTGATTTCAACATTGGAGTTCTTTTTGCTGAATGTGTTTGTGTTCCAATGTAATAGCATCCACACCAAAAATGGCTCCAAAACGTCAGTGTCAGAAGCGCGGTCTTTCTCAATGCTTCCTTATAGCACGAGCCTAATAAGACTAATATAATAGGAATTAATACCCATGTTATGGAGAAGGATATATATATATATATATATATATATATATCTGGAAACTATTGCGGAAGGTCTAGGTGTCGAGAATAAAGGGGATTCAGATGAAAATAATTTAGATACTACAATACAACGGGTTGCTAGAAATAGCCCAATTCACCTAGATGTAGAGTCGAGAGTGTTTCACAAAATGCTCTCTTGGTATATTCGGCCTACTGGGGGAAAACATTCAAAGCTTCGAGACAGTGATTATTGGTGGATAGCAAAGTATAAATCCAAAACGGCTCCAAACATTGCTAAACTGATATTTAATACAATTGTATATATGGTCAGAAAGGGAGCAACAATTTCAACTTCACTACCATATGGATGTGTCATCACCCATCTGTTGAATAAGAAAGAAGTTGATTTTTCGCATGATGCCCTTGTTCGATTAACCTGCAAGATTGACATGTTATTTATTAAAAAAGCGGGATATGATTTTGTTGAAAAAGTCGGTTGGAAGCGTGTCAAGGAGGTCGGATTAGATCAAGAGATGGAGGAAATGGACCCTATTGGCCATGAAGACGACCAACCAATTGGAGACGCAATGATGGAAGAAGCTCCAGTTGGAGAGGATGTCATAATTAAGACGGTGATGGAATACATGGTTAATTTTCGGGAGCATATTGATTCCCTTTTGAGTGGAATGCGAGCCGATATTTCATCATTGCAGGATGAAGTCTCCATGTTGCATGACGAATTACGTCAATGAAATCAAATGAGTTAGGTAATTAATTATTTATGTTTCTAAACATTTACACGTTCTGAAATGTATTTTATTTTCTTTTAACAGATGTGGACAACCAAGAGGTCAATGAAGATGAAGATGACGATGAAGAAGATGATGATGATGATTATGATGATCCAAGCAAGTATATCGTGTCTGCACCGCCGCCTGCAAGAAAACTTATAATTTTTTATTTCAATGGTGTCATTGCCTACATCTCAAGACAACCAAAAGGTTTTAATTATGTTCTTTTGTATCCATTATTTTAACATATAAGCGTAGAACTTTAATCTCATTTT